CATCTGGTTGTCGCGGCACTGCGCTGTGCTGGGGCGAGTAGGGGGTGTGTGTGTGTCCATTTATAGAGAGCTTTGGGGGAATGAGAGTGCTCAGTCTGATGACCTGAGTCACTGGTGTTAATGCTTTGCTGTGGAGTAAGCAGAGATGCAAGTTTCTGCCCGGGTAGTGTTTTGGGGTTTGTAGGTGAGCTTTGTCAGTAAAAACACGCCCTAAGACTGTGGCCATCACATAGCTCGCCCTCTGCAGGTGCTTAATGTTGGGTGTTGTTACAGTCCTGCAGAGGGTATTTTACTTGCAGAGATAATGTGGGTAAGGTTTCAAACTATATTTCAGTTGGCAGAAGAAATAGTAGAAATACTTGAAACATTGAATCTAATGTTCTTCAGCATCTAATTGTACCACTGTGCTTGGTGTAATTCACTGGGCAAGCTCGGGCTTTTTTCTAACTCTTGTTTTGAAGTGTGTTTAAACAAACACAAGTTGCCACCTGCTGAAGGCGGTGTGTCCTAAGTGCTGGGAAAATCACTAAAGCAAAAATACTTATTAAAAAAATGCACTTCAGAGGGGTTTGTTTATCTATTTATTTATTTATTCCCCCCCTCAGGTCCTGGAGTCTTGACCCGAACTCTGCTCAATGCAGGTGTTAGAGTGGTAGCTCTAGAAAGTAACCCAGCTTTTCTTCCAAACTTACAGGTACGCTTTTGATTGATAGCACATTATTATTATTTAAAGGGAAGTAAGAAATTAGCTTACAGTTGTGTAATAACTGTGGGATCAAAAGGACTTGGCTATTGATAGTTACTTGTAACATCTGGAGTAACTATTTTTTAATCAGTCGGTTTGACATTGGATATGTGGAAATTCAAGTTCACAGTCTTCCTGTCTCTAGTTTCATGCATAAATTTGAGGCTAATGCTAGTCAGAGTCATTGTAGGTGTGTTTGTTTAAGCAAGATGTTGTAGCTTTAAGAAATCTGTAAAAATAGTCTTGGTTATTCTGATTATTACACGGTACTATTTAATCTGTTGTCCTGCGGTCGACTTATAATATTAAGACACTTACATGTGTTGTCCTGTCCTGTTACCTTGGCTTTGCGTGGATTCTAAGGCGGTCAGACACAGCTGTGGAAGTTGCACTAGAAGGATTGTGTTATGGTGCTGTGACATAAAAGTTTGGAATCCAAGACTCGCACCTGACTTATGTGTATAGAAGGCAGAATTCCAGTTGTAAATCATGAAATACAGTGGTTTGCGTAGCTGAGTATAGCCTTTTTTGCAAACATTGCAGAACATCTTACTAATGTAAGAATGTGCTTTAAAGCTGCAGTTGAACAGCATGGAAGTGTCAAAATGCCCCATGTGATGAAGGCAGCCATTTTTTTTATCAGCTGTAAGAAGCAGGTTTGAGATTTAACTCTTGTTGACTGAGTAACAATTTTAGGTAGTGCTCGAACAGTTTTTTTGTGTTTGGGTTGGGTGTTTTGGAGGACAGGTTACTGCATCCAGATTTCTTCAACTGAAGCTAACTTTATTCAGTCCCTAGAGAACAGCCTGGATGGACAATTAAAGGTAATTTATGGTGACTTCTACAGACTGGATCCTTTGACTGGGACACTAAAACCACCTGCAATGCGTTCTGAGAAACTTTTTGAAACCATGGGTGTAGAAGCAGTTCCATGGAGGGCAGGTATATGTATATGATCACATAAGTTACAAATACATTTGAACGGTGCATAAGCAATTTGGCAAAATCTTTGGAATTTGCTTGAGATATACGTTTAATATATATGCTGGATTATTGGATACTATTTCTTACATTTCAGCTTTATTTATGTTCTTGATACCTTCAAAAAAACCCTTGTGGGAATGTGAAATTGTCAATATTTGCTTCTTTTTATTATTTATTTTAGTCTAATGCAAACTAGCCTTAACTTTGACTACAGTTTGAGTTGTATTCGTTCTTGGACAACATGAGCTGACAGACTTTTTTCTTAATTGTTTGTGGCTTAGACATTAGAATTAATGAATTTGTGTGGTACATATTGCAAAATTTTGAAGAAACTCTTACACACTATTGAAACAGATTCACCTGTGAAAATTTTTGGAATCTTTCCACAAAGCAAGGAAAGGCTCAGACTTTGGAGGCATCTCTTAGCCCTGTATGAATGCAGTTCCATATACAGATACGGAAGAGTAGAACTCAACATCTTTATTAGTGAAAAAGAGTACAAGGTATGTATAAGATTTTACAGGTAGTAAAGAGTAAGTAGTGTTTCACAGAAGGTAGTGTTTTGCTAGTGAATTTCTTTTTTTGCCAGAATTTTTAGGTCTTGCCTGTTTCGCGCTTTTTTTCTTTATGCACTAACAGTGCTGTCAAGAAACATTCTGTTGTCAAATAACCACAACTCTTTCTTACACATGCGAAGACTGGTCCTTAGGAAGGATATGCAGCAGCAGACTAGCTGCTTTCCATTGTAACTTGTGAGGTGCTTAGATTTTGTAACGTGCTTTTGCCATGAAAGTGTTTACTAGTTGCAGGTAATAGGCAATGAAGACTGAATTCAAAACATCTCATGAAGAGGATTCAGATACTAAATACCATACTCAGTGAGATTTACTTGTCCTTTTGAACCACTTGTGTATGCAGTGCTGAAAAAAACAGGCAAATTATGAGTGATTTACATGCTTTTTCTACTAAGTTTTTGTACACTAAGGTGCAGAGCAGCTTTCTGGGTTATGTGCTCTTAATTTAAGCTATCCCAAACCATTAGAACTGTACTTACAGTTCTGTGAAACTGGGAAGTTCATACAGAGCCACAGACCTTTAATTACTTGAAGTAAGCAAATACTTCCCAGTGTGCTTACACAACTTGTGTTATGTCTAACACCCTACCGAAAAAGATTAAAAGTCCTAAGTATATTCTTATGCAAAATGACAGGTAGGACACCACTGAAATATCCACTTACATGGTATGCTTCTAATGGCTAGATGCTTGAGCAAATAGGGGGTTCATTTAATGCAGTCACTGTCACTTTGGGTTTTATTAAGTTTTCTGGTTTTATTGTGTACCTAAGTAAAAGCAATTGTAACCTTCTTTTAGTGGGCATTGTTGGTTCCTTTTTGTTTGGATTTTTTTTCAGTTGGTTGGTTGGTTTTTTGGCTTTTGAATTGATCATGTGATAAGACTCTCTAAATCTATTAAGAGAAATAAAATCTCCCTGCTAATTACTGCTCTCTTTGCCCTGTTTGAGAGTAACCACGAGTTTTTCTTTTTTTCTTGATCTAAGAGTTGACTGATCTGTAATATTGATCAGGGTGATGACTGCACAAGCTGCTTAATGGTCAGTGAGGTCACCTGATGTTTGGCTTACTCTGCTTGTGTGTCTTACTGGGAATACTGCCTTGTCTGTGCGAGCTGATAACTTTGCCCGTGGTTTTTATATATAATATGATCCCCATTTCTCTTCCCTTTGAAACTTCTCTGCCTTAAAAGGGACCAGAAAGTATGAGCTGGAAATTCCTACACAGTTCAGTTATCCAAATAACTGCTGTGAAAAAATACTTAAAACTGCCATAATGTCTTCTAACCATGTGTTCCTAGAAGATGTACTAAAATAACGCGAAGTACGTATTTGAGGCCTAGTGGAACTTTACCTTGAAATTTTAGACTTAACTCTGAATTTTTAGCACTTGTTTTATATATATAAGGATTTGGCTGAGGTAAAGAAGTAGTCTTAGGTTATGCAACAAAAATGCTCTTTCTCTACCATTTTGTTAGGTGTTAACAGGAAAGCCTGGGAATGCGAGTGCTTACCAAGCAATTACTGTACTTTGTCAATTAGGATGTGAAATTGAGCTACTGCACATGGTAAGTCATTATTAACTATGATGCCAGTATTTTCATTACAAGCCACTGTACTAAAAAACATTTATTCTCGGGAGCTGGTAGGTCAGAAAGAGATGTTTGCACCACAGATGAGTCTTTTCCATCTTGCTAAGGGTTGTGTGAGACTGGAAGATCGCTCTTCCAACCTGTCACAGCCTGCTTTTTGTTATGTCCGCTGCATTTTGCTATTATGCATGCTTTCAACTTCCCGAGCTGTCTTCAGCATAAATACTTTTTTGAGTGTTGGTGCTTTTATGCCCCAAGCAGGCCTGCTTCTCCTGCTAGTGAATAACTATCTTGCCTTGTCAAACATGCTATGGTTTAGTTTTAAAAAGTTTTTTGTGTTGTCCCCCTACCTCAGCATGAGCACGTGTCCATCTGCTTTCACTTACTTTATGCTTTTTATATTTATCTGTCTTCATAATCTGCTTTTCTAGGAACCTACCTTCATAGCTTAAATGTTTTGCTAATATAAAATAAAAAGCTTCACTGTTTCTTCCAAATACCTTATACCACAAGGTACGTATGAAGATAAACATTAAGGAGTTGAAGAGTAAGATGATACTTGTTGAAGATTGTCATCTGACTAATAGGGATGAAGAGAAAGCAGAGGCATTTAATGCGGTTTTTGCTTCAGTCTTTAATAATACTGATAGACCTTGGGCTGCCCAGTGTGGGAGCAGCGACTTTCCATTTGTGGACCTTCTGAATTGTAAGGGACCGGCTGTATCAGCTGAATGTTCCCAAGTCCATGGGGCATGAGGGGATTCATCCCAGAGTACTGAAGGAGGAGGGAATGTTATGCAGGACCCCTCTCAATCATCTACCAAAAGTCTTGGGAATCTGAGGAGATCCCTGCTGACTGGAAACTCATTCCAATCTCAAAAAGGGTGTGAGGGAAGGCTCAGGCCACTGTTAGACTTACCCCTGACTTGTTAGTCAAACCTCAGAAACTGGAAAAAAATTATGGACATTATACAGGGTCCTGTTGAATGGCATTTAAAAAACAATGCAATCATGAGGCACAGTCACCATGGGTTCACAGAGGAAAGTTCTGTTTAATTTGACACCCTTCTGTGATAAGGTCACCCACCCAGTGGAAGAAGGGAAGTCGGTGGATGTAGTTTTTCTGGATTTTGCTAACACTTTTGATACTGTACCTCACAGCATCCTTCTGGACAAGTTTCCAGCTGTGGGATGAGCGGGTTCATGGTGTGCTGGGTGAAGAAATGGCTGAAATGCAGAGCTCAAAGGGTTGTGGTGAATGGGGCTACATCTGTTGGCAGCCAGTCACCAGTGCTATTCCTCAGGGTTCAATTCTAGGACCAGTCCTGTTCAATAGATTCATCAGTGACCTGGATGCAGGAGTTGAATGCACCATGAGCAAGTTTGCTGATGATACCAAACCGGGAGATGCTATTGACTCTCTTGAGGGACAAAAAGCTTTGCAGGGGGATCTAGATAGATTGAAGCATCAAGCTATGATTAATGGGATGAAAATAAACAAGCTGGTGACCTCATTGCTCTCCACAACTTCCTGAGGAGGGGAAGAAGAGAGGAAGGTGCTGATCTCCCTGGTATCCAGTGATAGCATGCATGGAAATGGTTTGAAGCTGTGTCAGGTGAGGTTTAGGCTGGACGTTAGGAAGCATTTCTTTACCAAGAGGGTGGTCAAACACTAGAACAGGCTTCCTAGAGAGGCAATTGATGTTCCAAGCCTGACTGTTTAAGAGGCATTTGGACAGTGCCCTTAACAAAATGCTTTAACTTCCATTCAGCACTGAATTGCTCAGACAGTTCAATTAGATGATCGTTGTAGGTCCTTTTGTATTGAAATAGTCTATTGTAACAAAGCAGTTCAATTCTGTAATGTATCTGCTCCTTCCCGTAGGAACCTTGGTCATCATTTTTAACTAATTTGAAAAATGGGGGACTGGCGATACCGAAAAGCATGGTAAGATCTTTGTGTGTACTTCTCTCCTTTTGGAGATGCAACTAAACCACTTTAATTAAAAAGTTCAAATAACTTTATAACAGCATTTACACATTTATTTTTAAAGACATGTTCTAATTAAAACTTAAGAACAGCATGTAGATGCATCAGAAGTGGGGTGAAGAATTGCTATTAGCTTAGAAACTAAAATAAACTAGTATCTTTATTGTCTACAAAGGAAAAAATACAGTGAATAAACAGCATAAAGGATGTGAATAGGTAAAGTCTTTTTCAAAACAAATGACTGAAAGGGTCACATCTACTTGCTTGAACAAAACAAGTGTTACCACAAGTAATAGCACAATCAGTAAGCTGTTGGTTTTGATAAAAATGGTTATTCACATGTCCAGTGTAGATTCCACATGCTAGGTAGCTGCTGAAAAGTATGAGTCTGAAAGCTAAATTTGAGGAGTGGTAAATTAGCCACATAATCTCTTGAAAATTCACATGAAGCCTATGTTGTCTATTTCAGCAAAGAAATTTAAATCTTTAAAACCCAAGTGATAGTATGTCTGTTTTGTTTCCTGTTTCCTTTGTTGTTTAGGGGTCAGGGGAGATAAAGCATCTTTGTTCTAGAACAAATTTGAAAGCCTATTTCCAATGAAATCATCTTGTTAAGACTTCTAAAACTCTCTAAGAAATGTTACTGATAGCACAGATGAAACTCTCACTCTGAGCTAAAGACGAACCTGTCTTAAAGATGACTTTTCAGTGACTTATTTTGTTCTTTTTTGCAGCGGCTACCAAATGATCATTTATGTTTGGTACGACTGACTCCTCAGCAAAATCTGTTTACAGGAGGTTTGACTCCCACAAATTCACCTATCTTTACTTTCATGGTGAAACAGTATCTTGCTAAACCTAAGTCTAGACTTATTGATAGATTAAAGTAAGTAAGAAAGAATTACAGTTTTTAAACGTTTCCTTCAGAGAAATATAGGAAAATATTAAAATAATGTTCTCAAAGCAGTAGTGATTTGCAGTTGAAATACAGCTTCTTTTCTTTTTTTAGTTAACTATTTACATGTAGAATAGAAGATTGTGGTTTTGCAATACCATATTTTAGGGACTTTTCCTGGCCTCTGTTCGCAGGTGATAAAAACTTGAGGTTTGACAGGAAGGTTGACAGGTATTTAGAATGTAGATGTGCAGTAATTGTACCTCCAATGGAAGTAAGGCCATGTATCTACAAGAAAAAAGTCACCAAGAGTTTTGCAGGTGCAGAAATTAAAAGCTGAGAGTTTCAGTTTATAATAAACATCAAAGTAATGCTAATGAAAACAGCCGAAGGTTATTGAAAGTGGAGTGGGGATGTTCTCAAATGGCTTTCTGTTATCTAATTAAAAAATTAGGCTTTAGACTTATTTACCAATTATGCAACTCTTTAATTATTCTTTTTGCTATTATACTGGAGCTGTTCACTTTGCTTCAGGATGAGTAGATTCCTGTTCCCATAAACATGAAGTGTTTGCAGTCTGGAAAGCATTGACTTCAACTTGTTAATGAAAATAATATATTTCTAATTTCGGGTAGTAGTTTATGGAAGTCATTTCCAGACAGGTGGGGAGAAGCTAGTAAGTTCCAGTAACTCATTTAGCAAAGACAAGTGCAATGAGCCATAATGGATTTCTTAAAGCTCAGTGGTGTACCTAATCACCACTCAGATCCTTCGGCCAGGAAGTGGAACTAACCTTGAAGGCTTCTAATGTGCATCTTCTCTGTATTTATACACACTTTCTTGTCTGGGAAATAGTTAATGTATATGCACATTTATTAAAAGGTCTCGTTTTCATAGCAATGATGTAGGTGGGGAGACAGTGCATACATGTGTTTATAGTAGAAAATACCTGGGAAGTGTAAGTCACACTAACTCATGCTATACTTAATCATCTTCTTGAGGATGACCTTGGCTTTAACTTCCCAGGTATTGAACAATATCCCTTTTTATTCTGTAATGCCTGCTACTGATTTATGCAGCTGGGGCAGAGGAGGGAGGGCATCCACCCTCTAATGAGGAGGCTTATGTGGTTTGGTATTGTCTGCTGGGGACTTTATTTGGTATTTATATGTCTTATTTAGCAGAGGTTTCTTCTGATTTGCAGTAGAGTTTGAAAATAACTTGTGTTGTAGGAAGATGTTAACTTCTAGAAGCTGCAAAAGAGTGAAATGGACCTTTGGATACTGTTTCTTGCTCTTTAATTTTTCACAGAAAGAAATGCTCCATTATGATTTTGTTTGTTTGTTTGTTTCAGTTCATGGAGCTTGGACAACAGTAGCCAATTACTGAGAGAACTAGAAATTCCAGAAAATGCTCAAACACGTAACGTATACCCAGAAGACTATAAGCGTCTTTTTGAGGCTTTGCAAAACTCTAATGTATTTACTGAAACCTGGTGGCATGATGAAGTCTTTGAAAATATAAGGAACATAAACTTATAAATCTAAAGCTGCTGTCTTTTGGAAGATCATGTTTGCTTCTGGAAGATTAATAAGAAATGATTTAAATAAAATCGGAAATAGTTACCTACACGATTTCCTGTCCAAACAGGAAAATAAACTTAGCAAGTAACTAGAGCCCTTCTACAAAGAATGAAAGTAGTGGATTCACAGTTACTTGATCACAATCCTACCTAGAATGGACAAACTGTGTCTTTTCCAGGAGCATATTAATGATCTGCTGCTTTTGGATGTACCACTTAAACAGAACTTTTTGTTTCACTGCTGTATATTTACAACATTTGGAAAAAAAAATAACAGACCAAATATTGTTATTTGTGCAGTTGTACTTAAGTGCTTCATGATTGTTAATGCTCTTTCAGAGATTCCCCAAATAAATAGGTCTTTACAAGGACTGAATCTGTTATGTTGTCTCCTGATCTAAAAACTTTGCAGTCTACAGTCAGTATTCATAAATCAATAGCAGTGGGTTAATAGAAGACAAGGTAATGACAGCATGATAAAACACACCAACTGAGAAACTGAGAGTTGTTTGGGGTTTGGTTGGTTGTGGGTTTTTTTTTGTTTGGTTGGTTTTTTTTTTTTTTTTTGTTTGTTTTTTTTAGCAAAAAAAATTGTTTTATCTCTGGGAGAAAACATTGTAACAGTTCTTTCTCTTGAAAATTTGAGAACGCTGGGTAGCCTGTTCTTGTTCACAGTACAATATGCAAACACCTGTATGTGTGTAGACTTAATCTTATTTTAAGTTTAAAAACAAAGTCACCAGAACATTCAGTTCCGTATTAACAGTTTGAAAAATAAAAATAAAATCATCTTACCTGCAACCTTTGTCAATATGTGTTTCTTTAATGTGTATTATATGTGTAAAATAACTTAATTCCAAACTTCATGCTACTAAAATTCTCTCTTTAGCCATAGTACTCCATAATGCAACCTGTTCTTAGTTTCTCTGTGTCTAACCATGTAACTGTTGTACTGTTGTCTGATAGTGCTGGCAGTCTCTCCTGGTTCTGGTTTCTATACTGTCTCCTCTGGGAAGGGCTGTGGCACCCACAATACACTTTTTTAGCACAGCACTAGAGTTAATAAAATAGCTTTTTGGTAAAGGTTGAGCTATTTTCAGGCTTTGGAAATCAGCAAACAGAACTCTATTTTTTAAGTGTAGTATGAGCTGTAGATGTGACAAGCATTCACCTCTGTCTTCCTCTTGTGGTTCCTGCTGCAGAAGAAAAATGGACTTCAAGCAGCTTTAGTTCAGTCTGCTGTAGGTACGCTGCAGCTATCTGTTTAAGCTGCTGAAAAGCCCTTGTAATGTTGTTATGATGAAACTACTGGAAAGGCTGAGTTTAATTTGCACTCTGTCTCTGAGGGTTGCTGGTGTTCTGGTGTAGAACATCATAAAGATTTGAGGCTTTCTTTCTGTTCACATCTCTTCCTATTTCAGATAACTTGGGTTATAAATTGACCGTAACTTGCCTTAACATAAGCAATTCCACCTTTTTTCAGTATCAGTAGATGGTAACACTGTTATCTTCTGGTCTACTTATCTATTGGAATGCTGCGTCCACTGGGCTGATTCCTCCCCGCACCATGAATCAAATACCTTGCTCTTGTTGCAGCAAGATGTGTTATGTAAGTATTCAATGCATAAAATATAGGACCACCACTGTCTGTATAAACTTTAACTGTGGTTCTGCTAACATTTCAAACATGAACTGAAAAAAAAAAGAAAACTATTTGCTGTGATTTTTTTGACTGTTGGAAAACAGCATTTACTGAGCCAATGCAGAGACTCCCAAGGTAATAGCAGGAGTCTGTAAGTGGAAGGAAAATTGTGTAACTGGGGACTTGAAATGAGAAGGTTTAATGCTAATGAGAACTCTGCCATTAAGTCTTAAGTGAAACAATATCTGTGGCCCTGATCACAGATGTGAAATGAAGAGAACAATAGCTGACATTATAAAAATGGTTTTGGTATTGATGGAAGAGATGGAAAAACTGAAAATTAGTGGTGTATGCAAATAAATACAGGGGAATGAAATTGAAGTAGGTTTGTGGATTTGATTGAGGTTATCTGCTCAGTACTTCCTACTGTTGCAGGTTTACAGCTTCTGTAGGATAACGCTGAATGCAAATTTTCACTGAAATTTTAAATTCTATATAAAAGCTTCTCATATTTTTGTTACGATTTTTAAGCAACCTTGTACTACTTATGTCCCTTTCCTTTTTATAACTGCCTTTGCGATATTCTTCAATATGTTGATGGAAAATTGAGCCAATATATTTTCACTTTGATTTATGTAAGTGCAAATACACAACTTGCAACTAGGAAAACAGTATACAAATTCAGGTTAATATTTATAGTTTAGTAAACCTCAAAAAAGCTACTCAAAAAGAAAAAACCCTCCAAATTCACTCAAAATTTAAAATGCTAAACCTCTCGGAAGAGAAAATGTTCATGCTGACTTTGAGACCAAAGGGTTTACAGAAACTACTTTTCTATCATGGGCGTATAGCAGTTTCCCATTTCTGCAAGTGCATTAATTTGTGAGTGACTGTGTGAAATACAGTAATAAAAAGTATTTTGAAATCAGCACCATTTGAAATTAGCACAACATTTGAAAATATTGCACAATTCAGTTGTTTTCACATGTTTTTTTGTTACGGTACTATTAATATGTAAGATATAAATTACATATAATTTATAATAAGACATAAATTAGCTGCAAGCTGTTGGGCAGGTTTCTTTTGTTTCTTCCAATGTTTTCCTGTCTTTTACTCTGTGATCTTGGATGAGATGAAGATTACAATGTTCATACAACAAACTTAACAGAAGGTCCACAGTGTAGCATATTCCTTTCAATTATTTCCAGTCTGTGTTTTGGTTTTTTTTCCTCTGTTTCCTTATTTTCCCTTTTACGAACAATTTGGTTCATAAACAAACCTCTAAAACATGAACCACATGTGATACATCTGTCAAGCAGAACTCAAGTATTGTTCCCACTCTTCAAATACTGTTTCTTAGAGGAGTTGCAAGAAAATGGGTTTTGGCATGCCATGTTAAAGCACTGATATATCACGGTTTGTGTACTGATTGTAACTTGAAAGGTGCTAGGTCTTTTTGAATAACCCTCATAATGTGCCATCCATCTGCCTGTGAAAGAAAATTACATGGCTGTGATGGCCATTGCCTAAGGTTTTGCTACTTTACCATGTTAAATTATAGCAAACACAAATACAAACAGAAAACAACCTTGGTCCTTATAATGCCCAGTCAATGAGAAATTTTGCCGCTCGGAATTATAAGATCAGTCAAGTTGGATTCTATACTTAGTAGTTCTCTTTTGATCCAGAAGAAAGGTTTGTGACCTTGTACTAATTAACACAGTAGATGATGTGACAAGGGGTTATTAAGGTGGAATGTGTATATACTGGCTACTAGGCTTGTTCAGCATTGGACGTTTCGATAATCACAGCTTAGCCTTGCAGGTAATGATAATGTTGATAGACGTATCCACAGAAAACAGATTGTGTGATGTAGTTTAAAATAAGTAAGGGTGATAGGGAGAACCTGAGGCTTCCTTGAAAATGTGTTGAATTAATTGTTCTGGCAGGCTAAACACAATCTATGGGGATGTGGATGGAAAACTTCAATCTAAGCTTTGCAAGTCTTTAATTAGCAGAGCTGTATCTTTCTTCTGCAAACACTGAGAAAATGGAAATAACAAGTAACTTTTCCAGAAGGGACAACAAGTCAGTGGGAGATGTTTATTCACTCATGTTGTAGCCTTGCTCAACAGCTACTGCATCTTTCCTTGGGTGTGTTGTTTAATATGTCACTGCTAAAAACAGACACACTGGCTGTCCCCAGCTGATAGAACACAACATGCAACAAGCATGCAAAACCCATGGGAAATTAAGGGTTGTTAAGATACACCAAATGGAACAGTCAATTACTCATAAATTAGCAAGACTTTATCACTTGATGTACTTGATACTATGGTTAAGACACTGAATAGATAAACAGCTAAGCAATTACACTGATGAACTTCAGAAGCTTCTTTCTGCCATCTGAAAGGAAGTAATGTGTTTGAGGCAGGGAAGACTTAAAGTAGAAAGTTTTTGTAAAGTTTGTAGTAAAAAACCAGGTAAAATCTATGTAACTTTGAGTGAAATTTATTATGAATTTGTGCTTAAAATTCTTCTGCAATGAGGCGGTGGGGGTTTTGGTTCATTTTTGTTTGGGTTTTTTTTTTTTTTACATTCTGGATAAAATTTTTAACTAGCACACCAGCATTAAAAGTGAAGAAACCTCATCAAGAGCTTCCTGTATGTTCATGAAAGATCTGTATGTGCTTACAAGCTTTCAACTAATTATTTGGTAGCTCTTCTGTGCCATTAGCGATACAGATTTTGTACTAATCCAAAATTCATCATGTTGTGTTTTGAGCAATAATTTTCTCCCAGAAAAATCTGGTTTTATGCTGTGTTGGTTGGAATGGGTATTGCATGTTTATGACTAAAAAGCAGCATTTGGATTATTACTGCAATTCTTTCTATAAACTCATGTTGTAAAACATACATACTGTCTCAAGACAGTAGATAGAACAGCTAAACTTCCACTAAGGTGTCTCATCTACCGGCAGTAAGGAAGTATGACTAATTCAGCAGCATCAGCCACAATTAAGTGGTATTTCCCACAAAAGTGCCTCTATTACATGCCTTGACAGCTGCTTCTGTCCAGAATGTGTCAAGCGTTTCAAATAGCTGTTGGGGAGTCTAACCTGTCTAGGTCAGTGAATGACTTGGTCATATAAAAACCCCATACTGGTAACAAGGATTACTAATTCAACTAAATAAAGTTGAGGGCTAAATGATGACTTACGGGGATATATAGTCATAATGTCATTATTTTTAGAAAAATGAGACTGACTTTTCCTAAAACACCTGAGTTGGGTGTTCCGTTGATTGCCACTGCTAAA